AGGTCGAGCGTTACGGACTTCGTAAACGATCGTTTACGGCCGTTTACGACGTCGTATACGACCGTATACATACCATATATGCTCCGTATACGACCGTATTTCACCGTATTACATGGCCCAGTACTACGATCGTATATTGCCGTGGATCGTATCGGCTCGTAAACGACCGTATTTTCACTGTATACGCTCGTAAACGATCGTGCTTTGCCGTGTATGTGGGGAAAATATTGACCCTTTTATCTTTAATTACAGGTACATCAGTGATATTATAACTAACAATGGAGGTGTTTGTACTGTAAGTTGAATTTACCAGATATTTTTGCATCAATAGAAAGCCCTCGCCGCCAAACTAACAAGGTTAAAATATTAGCGGCTGTTGGCATACTCTTATGGAGATATTCGATTTTTAAGATATTCATGGCTAGGGTATATAGGTACCTTAAGATTATTTATATTAATTTTTTATGCAATTAATCGAGTACTTGACTCATAGACTATTAGAATCTTTGTGAAGCTTATTGATAGATTTAAGATCATCCTTAATTTCGATGTTTTTTGGGACCTAGATATTACGTAAGTGGAAAAAAGGTAAATAATGTGTTTTCAAACTGACATGCGCGTATAATATTCAAAATCGAAAGTGCATTGATGGGTCACTTGGTGGTCTGATTGACCAATTCTTTATGATTGGTGTTATGAAATCACAATGAAATATACTATCGAAGAATTATTCTCTTTCGTTATCTGCTTTATCTACCCATTGGAAACGTCTATTTAATTCAATTAAAACATGAAATTATTGAACATTGCCAAACATCTTCTTCATTTGGCTCAAACTGAATATGGATTTGAAAATTCTGCACCAACTACTGATGAAATTTTTGCTGCAGAACAATTATTCGAAGTTCTGAAGTCATTTAAGGATAGCTACTTCAGTGAGCTGTATACTTACGATACTCTGGAATTGGAAGATGAATATGATGTATCTATAAAGACATGCCTAGAGAGATTCTTTGTTAAGGATCACTATTGACTTCAACAAAAAAATTTTACTTTTTCACAGATAGGAAAAAAACAAAATACAATAAAGAAAGACCAGTTTATCTAGAGAACGGTATGGATGTACTTCATCTCTTGACCCATACTCACATCCTGTTCAACAACATGATGAATTTCATCAACATTTTGTTTTCAATAGTT